TTCGAAGGCACACGAATAAGCAAATGCATTGAATGATCTTCATATCATATATGAGGTTAACCATGTAAATGGTAAATGGCTTGTTCGAAGGCACACGAATAGGCAAATGCATTGAATCATCTTCATATTATATATGAGGTTAACCATGTAAATGGCTTGTTCGAAGGCACACGAATAGGCAAATGCATTGAATCATCTTCATATTATATATGAGGTTGACCATGTAAATGGTAAATGGCTTGTTCGAAGGCACACGAATAAGCAAATGCATTGAATCATCTTTATATCATGTACGAGGTTGACGGTTTGACTGGGAAATAGTTTTTTTTTGGGGAGATCAATAAATTAAATGGTGGAAGGCGAATGGGAAATAATATATTTGGTATTTTTCAGATACTTGTTGTGGTTTATTTCTGTTTTATTTTCTGAAAATGCCGTCGAATATGATCGATGTTGATGATTGTAAGGATAATACGAAATGTAAGCGTAGGCATTGAGTTTGCGTTTAAGCAAGCTAAGCTTTTGTGGGTTACTTTTGTAGGTGATGAGTGGGCCATGCGGGTGGATGAGCATGTGCGCGATTTGGAACATCGAATTAACGCTTTTCATCGGCGTTGTTCGGATATTTTTGACGACATGTCGGTGTTGCGTTCATCACTTGATGTGGCACACGATCGGATTGATGTTGTCCTCGACCGTGGTGAGGACCAGGAGGAAAAGCGACAAAAGCTGGAGGAAAAGATCAACGCGTTTGCGAGCCATGTATTATGTTTCTTTTTCTACGGCCTTCTGTTCGTCATTGTAAAGCGTTTGTTTTTCTTGGTTGCCACGTAACCGTTCTTGTTTTATAGGTAGATACGTTTGTGTTTGTGTATATGTTTCGTCGTTTTTTTTTTTATGAAATAAATGTCGGTTTGTGAACTCTGATTTACTGTAGTTTTAGTAGTGGAGTAGCGTGGAATTAGTGAGTTTGAGTCAGATCTTGTCGTGGTTGCTGGATATTAAGCCACCTGATGAGGCCCCTCAGCAAGGCCGAAACAAGATATGAATTGGTTTATCGTCGGTTATTGCACAACGATGAGTTTCAGTCACCGGCATATTTCCAAAGTTGCGGAGGATATTGGTGTGGAGGAAAGACCTGATTGGTTTTTTGATGACTAAGTGTGGCGATTCATTTTCATGTTTGTATCCGATACAGTGTGAACTACATCCTACATTGTAAAAGAAGAATGGGAGATAATCTACCCTACAAAAAGATTTATTAAGATCATATATCTTTCATCAAGATTTCATAAAAGCCTTTTTTTGTACATTCTACTGTTAGGTACTCTTTTAGGGTATATGACAGTTCCACAAACCCTTTGAGGGTTCGTTATACGTTACACTTTCATAAGCACTTGCATGCTTATCAAAGTAATAAACACTTTGAAGGTTGACTATTTCTTTTTCATCAATCCCCAAAGAGTTTATTACTTCGATAAGCGTGCAAGTGTTTATGGAAGTGTAACGTATAACGAATCCTCAAAGGGTTTGTGGAACTGTCATATACCCTAAAAAAGTACCTAACAGTGGAATGTACAAAAAAAGGCTTTTATGAAATCTTGATGAAAGATATATGATCTTAATAAATCTTTTTGTAGGGTAGATTATCTCCTACTCTTTTTTTTACAGTGTAGGTTATCGTCGAATATGATGAACGATTCTGTATCGGTCAGTCACAATAATGGGCAACGTATGTATTAGCTTCTTGTTGTCTAGTGGCTGGCTTGATCTCTGTGTGTGACAGATATGGTTACACCACGTCCTAAGTGCCGAGTCCAGATGCAACTGCAGAAAGTATGGAATGATGTCGTAGGTTGTGGCCCGATCGACGGAAGGTAAGTACAATTGATACACATTTAATCTATCACTCCATTCTCTTCTCTATTTTCTTCAATAGATGTTAAGTGAAATTGGACAGTTTTTCCATGCTCGTGTACATATTCGTGTGTGTGTTTGTGTTTTACAAATAAATGAAAACTCGTGTCTTTCCCATCGAAAATAGTAGTTTAGTGAAGTAGACGATTAGGCTGCCTAGGTGTCTTTGTTATATATAAAGAAATTCTCCTTCCACGTACATACTGAATGTCATAGAACTTTTTTCGTTCTAGATCTAATTTGCCTGCGATTATCTCCATTACTTACCTTGCCCATGGAAAATATCGACCCAAGTGATACTTATTCATCGAACTCAGGCAAGTATATTCCCTACGCGTTCGCACTACGTACATTACCATATCTATTTTGAGACGATCAAACTATCATTCGTTTCTGTTGTAGAAATGTGTAGTCATGGCAGTGAAGTATCGTCTGGCGACAACTGCTATCATCGGTGTCGTCGAAATCGCCACCGTCGTCGTCGTCGTGGATATCACCGAGAAAAAAGAGCCCTTCTTCAGCACCTTATGCAAGAATACACTCAATGTCAAGAACAAATCTATGACAATCAATCTGAAATCAACCAACTCAAAGATCACATCGAACGATTATGTGCATTGCCTGGCAAATTATCTGATGGCCTTCGTAACATGATGTCCGCGCTTTGTTCGATCCAAGATCATCTTAACGACATTCATCGTCTCTAATCGAAAGAGTTTCTCTCCCCTCCTCCCTCCCTCAACTTGTTATACTACTCCTAACTGTCTTCTGGTTGTGTGTTCAAGTCAATAAATATTTGCACAAAAGGCAAGTCCCATGGCTTCTCAGTAACCCTCACTCTCCATAACAGATGACGTGATAAATGAATGTCCCATAGAATATCTTTAACTTCCATTGTAGACCAACTACTTCTATTTATTAGAATACTTCAACGAACGGATTCGATCATGGAACAAATCGTTGTTGCCAGTCCCAATACAGGTAATCGTGGTTCGCAAGTGTTGCCTGATATAAATGTGTTGTCTTTTTACATCCACTTGCAGAAATTCATTGTCAGCGTCACCACCGCCGTCGTCGGCGTTGTCCCTGTTGTCGCAGTTGTTCAACATATCAACGTCGATCGAGGAACACCGTCTTTGTTCAATCCATTCTGGAACAAAACGCTCAGTGTCGCGATCATATCTTTCAACAGCATCATGACATTCGTCAGTTGAAAGAATACGTTCGAAAATTTCGTGATATGATCGAGGCAGTCAATGATGCCCTCGACACTATTGCCCATAGCACCGTTGATATTCAACGTCATCTACAAAATATGAACAACAATGCAAGTGACTCTTTGCTAAAATAGTTTATTGTTAGTTTCTATGTACTTGTAATTATGCTAAATAAATTATGACTTTGTCGTGCACTCCGCATTTGAACGAAATGTTTCACATCATCTATTTTAGATTGCAAAATGACAGAATTTCTTCGTGCTCGCAAAGATTACATCGATTTACGGCCTATCCCAATTGATGGTCCTGTGAGTATACACTACATTCGATGTTCAGTGACTGGCTTGCAACGTGTATATTTTATTTTTTGTAGAAAAACTTCAGTTATCGATGGAAAATGATAGCCCTGTTGGATTTCAATGAGCACGGGCAGGTAATGAGATCGTTAGTTAGTTCTTTTTATCGAATAAATGAAAAAGCTCTTCTTTCTGTCTCCCATTTAGTATATACTTCCCTTTTCAAACAGAGTTATCAATATTCCCAAGGTCCTGTGGCCGAGAATTCTAAAACAGCCGCCGCCTCCAGGCCACGAGCTGTGTGGGTGCATCGATTGTGAATATAAAACTTGGCATGATCATGTTCTACGAGACGATGTTGATGATGAAGTATCGACATATGGTAATCTACATCTAGAAGTTGCACACCGTTTGAATTTCAGTGAAAATAATGCAGATCAGTCGTGTGACTGCTACAGTGACAATCCTATGGATGAGCAATCTGATGATGGCAACCCGTTGGACGACTCTCATGTACCGAAATGGTCTCAACTTTCATTATCTCCATTCCCATGTGTTGACCCTTTCGACTCGTATGATCTCGAGTGCTAATTTATCTTTCTTGTGTTTCGAATAATAATAAAAAAACGAACTAGGCCTTTGGGATGAAAAGAGTTCTATGTATACTTTGTAATTTCAGATAAATACCATCGATGAGCAAACGGTTCAAAACTTACCGAGCAAAGTCATCCCTTTGGGTAATTGCGCTTGTAAACAAAACTATCACGAGTAGTGACATCTTCTCTTGATAGGATGATTCGCCCACGGAAGGTATGATCGAGTTATGTGCGCCAAAGGACCAGACGATCAAAGAAGACGAACCTGTCGTTGAACCAATTGCATTACAAGTTGATCCAATCATCAGTGTAACTGTTGGACATTTTCCAAAGTTAGTGCAACAACTGGCCATTTTACCACTGTATCCAACCGACAGCAAGGTGACCAGTCCAAGGTATCCTTTGCTGCCCAACATACCATGTATGTGTATTTTTCATGTTGTGACTGAATTCGATTACGTTTATATTATATCCCACTGTAGCGTGTCAGTTGAGTCAAGAAGAGGTGAATCGTCGCCGTTCAAATACTTTCAAGCCATCATTCGAAGTCAAGGACAACAATCCAGATGTGCCGTCACTGCTACGTGCGAAATATCAAATATTCTATGGAGATTTAATGCAACGATTGAAGGTAGACTTTACTGTTTTGGATTACAACTATACACGACTCGATCGATACATCCAACGACTGATCGAAGAACGCATTCAAGTATTCAATCTTCTACCGAATGAAATTCCGCGATTGGACGAGAAAGAATATCCATTAGCATTGGAATTTTTCCTACAATTCGATGGTACGTTCTATTCGCTGTGTTACTACATTTATGTGTACTTCTCCTTCCTAACTCGCAGTTAATATGTTCTACATGAAGACATGTTCGTTTCGTTATGCTCGTCCACGTTCATTGAGCGAAGGTGTATTCTGTGTACAAATGCCCGAAGCTCGTTATGAACTGGCCGAATGTGGTAATTGTGGACTGTGTTATCCACAATATGACATGACACATCGAGCGAACAAACACATCGTCGAATTCAGTCAAACCCATAAACATACATTTCTCAATGGATATGAAACCATTCTGAACTGTTCAGCTGTACGTATTATACACTTAAATATTCATCATTGACTTCGCTTTTTTCTTTCTAGACATGCCATACACAGAATATTATCTACGCATTGAGATGTGTATGTGGAGAAGTGGACTACATCGGTGCAACTAGTGAGAGTTTACATGACCGTCTCTTTAGTAAGTTATGCGTAGTCTATATCGATGCTTTCTAGATTATTGTTGTTGTTGCTGTAGGACATCGTGAAAATGCAAATCGAATTCTACACGAATTCCTCTTAGGCCAAGAAAACATCCTACGTGACCTACCAAGAGGAAAAACAAACGAGTATGACCAATGATCATAGAACATAGTACTTGAACTAGTGCAGCTGTATTTTTCTACTAACTCTAGCATCAAACGGAAGGATCGCATGAAGCTGTATCAACATTTAACTCGATGTCTTCATGCGATACAAATTTTCTTGGATGCTAATCCACAATATTGGCGGTTTGTACCCATGACCATAGATGAAGCTGAAACACCGGAACAGCAAACGATTCCATCACCTCAACTATCTGATGAATTGGATCTAAATCGTCGTTCAAAGAAAGATTGCCAAATGTGTATTCAAGCTGTTCCTCGGCCGCCATCTGGGTTTACTTTTTCGAATCGACAAATTGTTCGACAAGCCGAATACTTTCATAAGAAACGCGACAAAACATTGCCAAACTGTGATATTGATCTGTATCATGCTACGATTGTAGCTGTGTGTACGTTACACAAACATTCTATCTACAATCCATCCTGTCTTTGCTCTAGTGCCCGAGAGTTGTTCGAATATGTTTCGAGACGTGATCGAATCCTTATTCATCACTTATGCGGAAACAACGCTCAACACAATTGGTAACGTTCTCAACGAACAGCAACAACGATATCCTTATTATCCCTTGAACGATCCATGGTCAACTCGTAGTAATGATTGGTGCAATGGTTTGGCGCGTCGACCATGGCCAACGACGAATCCGAGCTGAAATCATTATGTCACATTGTGTTACGCTTTTTTCATGTAAAACAAATGTATTTTGCCGTTAGCTAAAGTTGTCATAAATACACATTCACCGTTTCTTTTCCATAGAATGCTGCACATATGCACTCGCGTTACCGTTCGTCTTTTTCGTTCTAGATATACCAACGACATTACTCGACTGATCTATATGTCGTCATCATCGTCATCGACTTCAATGCGCCGTTATCATTCAACCAACGACGAACGGGACATCGATTATTCGGCTGGCGTGCAGGGCAGTGAACGGCAATGTAAGACACAGCCGTGTCGAACGATATCAAACCGATTACAGCAACCACATGTGCTTGGTGACATAAACGACACTACATATCACGGCAGTACGGCGCCATGCGAAGCTTTGGCTGAAGAAGAATTAACTGATCGATTGAAAGAGATAATCAACGAATTCATGACGCGACCTGATCGCCGATATTTGTATGATACGACACTGCGTTGGACAGTCGATCATGGCAATGAAAGCAATTATAGTGTGGTTGTCTACATTAATCAACCAGCAAATCTATTCTGATACTCTGTTAACGCTTAGGAGAATTTTAAACAAGAAATAAAGAATCGTTGTGTTACACAGTTTCGAAATAAACACATATTCCAGATTGAAATCACTTGTCATTCCTTGCATATTTTAGATTAGAGTCAACTCATTCCATGGTTACGGCGTCATCTTCGCTAGTCGAAGAAATGGAAACGGATGTCACACAAGAAACAAATAAAGCGAAAGAACATGAAGTTCAAAACGAACATGAATCAGTAAGAAGACAAGTCAATTCTCGAACTAATGCACATCATTCTTCTTTTACTGCAAAGAAATTTCGTGCCATGTTCGACTATTCACTGTCTACTTCACGGTATCCATCATTACCAAGATGGTCATCGAGTGACCAGTTACAGAAGAAGAAAAGACTTATAAAACATCCATTTTATATTGATTTTAGTCATGCTTTCAACAATCAACCTGTGCTTTATGACCAAGCGGCTTCTGCGAATGGCCAACTTTCGAAGCGCATTATTCGATGAATGAATAATTAGTTTGCCAATAGACCTTGTTTTGAGATTCGAAAATAAATACTCTTCTATTTGCCACATTAGCATATTCGAAACTGGTTGTGTGTTCGATTCTAGATAAAAACAAAACTATTAACGTGTGTTAATGCGTCCAACAAAACGTCATCGTGTCAACAAGAATGCATCAACGTCACCTTCATCTTCTTCAGCATCATCATCATCATCAACGACGACAACACCACCCAATACTCAATCGACAAATGAGCCATCGCAAGAATTCCTCATTGTTTTAACTAATAGTCAAGATCTTTTCCGACGATTAGCAGTTGAATATCAGGTAATAGTTGATACAAGCATCGAAGAAATAGATTACGAAAAAACGATTACCAGCACTACTTTGTCATCCATTTTATAGAATGCTCAAATATTTCGAAGAAGTGTGACAATTGGAAACGACACAGCCATGTTCAATACGGATCGGGAGCGACTTTTGACTGCGCTGCTACAAGTTGAATTGCGACAAGCTGCTCGAGATTACCTTTCTCGAACTCAACGATCTTACCCTATTCAATATCTGTTCAATATGTCTGATTTCGATCCATCACATCATTCCACACAATAAAACATTAGATTAAAAGATTTTATGATTTTTTCCTGTCTGTGTGTTCCCTTTCTCGTGTTGATTTTTGCTTCATTTAAATAAGATTTGATGACCATATGTACATTTATTTTGTAGATACTCTCCTTCTTGAATACAGATCATGTCATCGTTGGATAAATCGACCGACAACAAGGCAGAAACAGCTTCATCTACTACTATCCAAACAAGATCGAGTTCGACACAGACTGGAAACAGTCCACAACGACGACATCAACGACGCTTTTGTATCATGTTAACGAACAATCCTCGTATGATTCGATCGGCAAGTCGAACGTTGCACAATGCCACGGTTAATGTGTCCGTAAGTCTATCGTTTGTAACCTACGCAAAATAAATGAAACAAAATTTGCCTAGAATCAAAACACACAACAGCGGCAACGTTCTCCGCCACCACCGTACTCAGAATCTCAACGTCAGGAACAGTTAAATCTATCGAACGGACAAGAAGTACCATTATTGACACAGTTCTTAGCTATGAATATCACAACGGATAGTAATGGTGATTATGAAAAAGAAATTGAAGATGATTTTCGAGCACAAATTCAATCCATTCTTCAAGCCTACTTGCAAAAGACGCGACGATCAAGTCCAATTAATTCTATTTTTGACATGTCAAATTGTGCTGATGATTAAAAAACGTAGTTGTTGTTTCCTTTCACCCGTTTCATTTGTATCTGTAGATGTCAAGAAGTTAGCTACGACCTTTCGAAGAAGAAAATCACTTTTTGTTGTAGATTATCATATACATAGCACATCTATCAATTCTTTTCATGACTTCATCACACTCTACGACACATGACGACTCTTTACGAATGAATTTTCCATATCCATATTTTCTGATTAGCGTAACAAACTATCCACAATTGACACAACGTACACATCCGTGCTCTACATTCTACGAGGTAAATTCGTATGGGGTCTATATCCTCACAGATCCTCAACATGACTTTATCTTACATTTCCATGTAGACTTCGAATCGTCAATCACAGCACAACGCCATGCTTATACCAGGTGTTCTCGTCCACTTTGGAGCCGCTTCTACTGATCAACACGAACGATTGTTATACAATACTGCTCGACATCAAATTCGACAAATTATTCGAGCATATCTTCGACATACTCGTCAATCGTATCCAATTCATTTAGTTTTCGATCTGAGCGATCTATCAACAGATTCCTAAGACACATTTCATGCAGTCTTTTGTATATAGTTGTATCCATTGTCATGTTCATACTTAGATCGCTAGATTTCAATAGAATAAACTCAGTCTGAAGAAATCGTAGTAGATCCATATTGATATATTCTAGATAAAATTACAATAAAGTGATGGCGTCCGACTTATGGACCATACATCAGATCATGAGGCATTTACAGAACGAAGAAGCTACAGCAGCAGTCATGGATGCGATTGATGATCGCGAACTGTCAACAGATGAACAGAATGATGAACAAGAAGCCGAAAACAATCAAGAAAGAAATACAGATCGACGATACTTATTCATCATCTTCAACGATCCAACATGGTCTCGAACAGTTCAACGACTCAAAGGAAATGTATGTTGCGATGGTGACTTTTCAACTTCCACATCCATTTCTCCTAGCCTACACAACAATGCGCGCAAACTGTGACATCAGATGCAGCAGCTACAGTGGCCAACGAACAAAGACAAGGATTATCTGTCGATGAACAGTTTACTTTGCAATTACGGCAACTGTTCGATGATTATATGCAACGCACAAGGCGACGTTTCCCGATAAGATACTTTATTGATTTCACTAATCAGACTATGTAAAGCCCACTAAACATTAATCCGAAGAAAAAAAGTTGAAATATAAAAAATAAACTATAAACTATCAATGAAAACATCATGCCAACACTGACGCCCTGTACTACGTTTTGATTTCGCTTTAGATAAACAGATATAATCATAAAACCAATCCAATCCCACAACCCATCACTGATTGCTTATCAGTTGACCTACACAATGAGTAAACATGCTTTCTATAAGATATATGTAAGTGGAATAACTGATCGCGCGTGACAATTTTTGAAATTGTTCTATTCTTCGACTTAGTGGCGAGACATGGACTGGTATGATAACATTTTTGATGTCATGGATGACAATGAAGACGTACTGGAATATACACCACAAGAGTTGAATCGATTCTACAAGTCTGCCCAGTTTCAATCGAACATTGAAGAAGATCCGATCGACGATGAGCAAATCACCGAAGATGTCGACATGATCTTTCTCGATAATCACACTGATCATGCGCAAGTAAGTCCGCCTATGTTTACCATTCACGATGATGTATAACTGGCGACTTTAGCCAACGACAGCAGCAGCAGCAGCAACAGAAAAGGAAGACGACCAAGACGCCGCATTATCACAAAGATTTAGTCAGTTGTCAACAGAGGATGCTTACGAACAACTCATTGACAATACTAGCCTTAAGAGACGGCGAAGCACATCGAAAAGTGTCGATGTCATTTCAAAAAGGTTTAAACTGACTCCTGACAACAATATAGAAAGAGTTGATATCAAAGATGACTTCAAACAAGAGAAATTCGATGACGACACACCAGCTTATCTATCATTGACAAATACAGCTTTTCTTCGTGTCATCAAGAATATCCAAGCTGTCCAAAGCACATTCAGTGCAACTGACTTGCAAACCATAGCCACATCGATGCATCATATTGCTGCTCTTCGTTTGCGGAAGCATATTACCCATCTCTATCTCCGATCTGGTACTGGCAAGTTAGGTGACCCGAATTCTGATTTGAACAACATCGACTGGCGAGTATGGCCTGCTCAAGTCAAATTAGTCATGTCGGCCAAGCATGCACAATCGAATATTTCTATGAACGACACAATGAATGCAGAAGATGAACATCTCGAATGTGAAAATCTTGTTACTGAACGATTGGAAGAGATCAATGGCAAGGTCGAGCAATACAACAAGCAATTGGAAGACAAACGAAGCCAATTAATTGGATTTACATCAGCCGTGGAAGACACAATCATTCAGTATGTGCAACGTTATGGCATTATTCCACTTCAAATGAAAACTGATCTCAAAATAGCCTTGCTCAAGCATGATTACAATGCTACCATACTTCAAAGAAAATATGAACGGGAAAATCCAAATGAATATCAAGTAAATAATAGAAATGCGGTCACTTCTTCTAGTGTTCACATCAACATACTCTACTCGTTTAGATTCAAGTAGCACAACGGCTATGTACAGCGAGACATAAACTGGAACAATCGAAACGTGAATTAATCGAGTTAAAACAGCGAGTCTTCTACTACAAATTTCCTTCTGGACTCAAAGATATTGGCGCATCGCCATCGTTATTGACCGACTCGACAACAGCTTACAGTACTGCCCATCATAAACTCTTACTCGAGGATAAACATGAGAAAATATATCAACGAGAGAAACTTGATTCACTCGTACCACATGTAATTCGAGCAGAAATCAGGTATCATCAAGCAGACGACAAATTCAACGTCGAATACACTACCATGCTAAATAATCATCGCAATCTTGTACGAAACAAAGGAATGACAACGGCATTAAGTAGTTTGTTGGAACAACGTCTCAGCAATATTACCGATCGATTACGAGATATTCACTATTATCGAATCAATTTCCTGCTTCGCAGTTCTTATGGTGATCTAGAGAACACGTACAAACAAACAGAACCTAATCAACAAGCGAACAGCAATACATTTCTGTCGAACGTGATTAGTGATACAATGCATGGATTGACTATGAAACAAATACAACTACTCAGTAGAGGACCATGCTACGTGCCACCGTGCCAGTCACGACTCCTGTCATCATCTTCCAATCTAACAAGCACGTCAGTTGTAGACATCGTCAAGAAACAGTATGCACCGTTGAAACATCAAATAGCTGGTCTTCTTTCAAAACATCGTATCAATATTGTTTCGTCATGGGATATCCATTCAAATCTACATCAAAAATTTACTGATCTTTTTGCCATTTCAATTCCACACCATGTTCAGCAACGCACCATGTACGAGATGAAATTAGTTCAATCGATACACTCTAATCTTAAAGTCAACAACCTTATTCTGCAACGAACAGCCGACAATCGGAATACTTTCTATATTGGCAATCGAAAAGAATTCGACACGAAAGCAAACAAACACATGGCAAAATCAGACGATATCTACGAATTCATAGTGTCCATTAGCGATGGCAGCAAAGGTATGGACGACGACGACGATGACCTACTACAACAGCAACCACTACCACAGGATCCCCAATATCTACTGAGTGGAAGAATCGAAGCAATCGACTTTGCATTGGAAATTTTGGAAAAACGGAAAGCGTTGAATCATGACACTATCAGCAAGCTTACAATCGATCCAAACAAGGTCAAACTACCCCATCTGTATTTTCTACCGGATATTTCCAAAGTGAGTATTGACTCCAATCGGGTTTTACTGACACTATTATTCGTCGGTTTTGTTTGGACAGAATAGCGAAATGTCACTTGTGCCAATAATCGTTGCAGCTCAGAGCATAACATCAAACATTGCCAGGTATGTCAACCAACTGATTCGGCCATTTGCTGACGAGAAGATGAAACCAGTGACATTCTACAATGAAGCGGATTTTATGAGAAAACTCATCGCCTATGCATGTGGTCAACATCGTCTCAAACCAACAACTCTGTTCTGTACGATTCATGTGACGAACTTCTATTCGCTTGATGAACATCATGCAATGGTTGACACCATCATCTCTTTTTTACAAGACAAATCAGCCAACAACAAAGTCAACCAAATATCCATTAACATCATTAAAAATCTCTTACAGCTCTACCTCTACAACAATCTTTTTTCATTCCAGAATAAAATTTACACTATGTCATTAACTGAAACCTTGGCTAACATTTACCTGTATGATTGGCAAAAATCAATATTGAATCAATGTGAATACAATCAAGAACTGTTCGGAAGGTAAACTCAGCCGTTTCTCTCAGCCATGATCAACCATCCAGATGGTTTCTATCTTCTAGAAATAAAGATCGAATCTTTTTCACATGGAATCAATCGTCTGAAAAGCTTGATTTTTATCTGCAGTCGCTGAGACAAAGGCAACCAAACGTTCGTTTTCGATTAGCCATTGGCTCAAACGTCCACTATTGGAATGCTTACATCGAAAATCGAAAGGGTGAACTCTACACTCGAGTGTACCATGATCCAATGGCATTACGTTACACATTACCCTACGTTGTTGGTCACTCCAAAATGCAACATAGCGAGTGGCTTCGATCAGCACTTCTTCGAGCCGTCTGCTATTGTTCATCAGCTGAAGACTTTCATCAGGAACGCATCTATGTTGAATTAACGTATCTGGCCAATGGCTATTCATTTTACTTTGTTGAAAGTCATGTGCAACACTTCTTCGACTACTTCGAAGATGGCGCAATGCGATATCGAACAGATCCATCCAGTTACCACTCATTTCGTCGACGATGGTTTGACTACTTCGAGTTGCAAATGCAGCGCTCAACACAACTTCAAAAATTGAATGATAACAATCAAATGGCTCGCTTCAACTATTACTATGATTACGGGCCGCGGTGTGAATTCAATCGATACTTTCATGAACTATGGTCAAAGCATTTTGCCTCACATCCGACACTCTGCGATGAGAAATCGAAGTTTCAACTAACGACAAAACATGTTCATACACTCAACGCTTTGCTATCGTCTCGAACATAACACTTTCTTGTAGTGCATATTGTATTTTTGTTAAATGACAATGAATAAACTAGAACATCCTCTCTTTCCAATCTACTACGAGCACTCTTTGATCATTTTTTGTTCTTTGTTTCAGACACATTAGTATATAACAAAATGAACCAATCAAATTCGGCCCGATCCAAAGTGGCAAGAAAACGGGTCTTGAACAGACAACTAAGCGTTTTATCTCCATTCGTACCACTCAACGACTGGCAAGCATACCGTATCAATCGAACAACAGCTCCGTCCTTATTACATGATTTAATCCAATTAGCAAGAAGAACAACTCGATATACGATTGATACCGAACATGATTACTATACCCACGAAGCAGCACTGATCCAGATCGAATTCATACGCCGACGATCAGTTGTTCTTTTGATTGAAATGTGCCATCTACCACCAACATCAACAGTTACATTCTGGCTGATAAAATCGCTTCTTGCCGTGATTCTTAGTCCGTCAAATTTCATCTATTCGTGGGGCAACGGCATAGATGAGCTAGGTCAATTTGTGCATTATGATCTCTTTTCCTCGTCGACTATCCGACGATCGAATAACATCGATGTACAAGTTGACTTCAAATTATGGTATAACAAAGTGTTTCTCCATACCTGTGGGCTACAACCACATGAACACGATCACAGCTTGTGTACCTGTATACATCGGCCAGTAAAACATCGACAAGATCAATGGTCACTTCAGAAAGCGATCGCCTATGCATTCGGCGAGTTTCTCGACAAAAGTCGAACCAACAGCAAATGGCGTCAACAACTGATACATAGCGATGAACTCGTTCGATATGCTGTTAATGATTGTTTAGCCGTCACCAAACTACACATGCTCATCGATGGCAACTGGACTAAGGAACAGCTCGAAAAATACAATCAACGACAATGCTTTTAATCGTAAGAGATGCATCATTTTCGACACATGAACGCCTGCAGGATTTCTTCTAGAAAACAATACTGTTTGCAACATGAGTTACTTGTTTGGCTCGCCACTGTGCTTGTGTGTTTAGACTATAGTTCATTACTTGCGATGTACCTATGTTTTTGAAAAAAAAAGAAATTAAAATATCCACTTCTATTTCCATTGTGTTCTGATGCTGATGTATTTTTCGTTGTAGATACAATTCGACAGACCTAAACGATCATGCCTCCACATGTCTACAACAGAAAAAGTTCGAAACGAAAGTAATATGATCGGTAAGATCTGAGGGTTTTCAGCGGAATAGCTTGAAGTTTCTGTTTCGTTTCAGTTGATTGCAAACAACAACAACAGACCGAACAGGTGAATAGACGAGATAAGATTGATGCATTCATAATATGTCCCTCTTTTTCTCTGGCAGCAAATGGATGCATTTTCAGTTAACGACAATCAGAACCTCCGCGAATCAGGTACAAATCTTGCTTTGATTGACTTCTTACAATGTTATGTTCGAATCCAACCGTGCAAGGTAGTATGTGCACTTTGGGATATATAGAACTCTACCGATCCCTATTCATACTGTACTCACACAAATGATCTATAGATTGAAGACTATGGCATCAGCTACAGTGAAGCTATAGGTGCCACTTTCCAAACATACAAGCCACTACCAGAACAAACTACAAAGTCAACGCAACAACTACAAGACAATGACCAGTCGAATCAATGTATCACATTAACGGCAGCGGAATCAAACGAAGAGCACCGGTTTGAAGCACGGCTCGACTTCGACGACTACAATATGCTGGAGAACTACATTCATGTCGACTGACCATGATCTAAGTTCATCCACAATAGATAATGTCAATCTGCTATGAACTTTCTTTTTCTTTTTTTTTCTTTCTGTTCGTGCTATTCACTTACTATTTGAATAAGTCATTTTTGATAGAATATTGCAGTACCTGATGAGAAGAAGAGCAAATATATACCTTATGAAAATGTTTAAATTCACTTTATTGCAGATTCGGACCTTACATTATTTGCACTGCTCCGCTTATCTGCTTTCAACTACTTACAATTACACATGACTTTGGTGAACAGATTGTTTAAAATGACTGAATGCGAAAAGTTCCTGGCAAATTCACAAACACCGATAACTTCTGTTTCGAATGTTCCATCACCACGAACATCGACACCAATACCGCAAGATCCATCTGAAACACATCGAAATCGAAAGGTCACTTTCAAGCTACCCGAACTAGAACAAGAATCGGACTCGGAATCAGCTAATCCATTGCCTGATATTTCATCGTTATCAAAGCACCTGACGAAAATGACTGTTACACACGAATCTGAACAAAACCAATCCAAATAATTCCAATATTGAAATAACTGTAACTTATATACTACGACTCTCGACTAGCGAATTTAGTGTTCTTACCTGTTGTTCGTTGTCTTCCATTTCGATTGCACACAATAAATATTTCCATTCTCGTTCTGACTTTGAAAGCATATTAGGTATCGATAGTTAACGATGTTCTAGATCTTAATTCAGCTTATATTAACAAATGAGTCATCTTCACAACGGCTTACCTGATGATCCAAGTTATTCAATTTGTAAGTCACTTTGACGCAAACTATTTCACCTAATACGATGATGCTATTTCCGAATGTTCTTCGACATAGCTTCAAACATCGAACACAATAAACCGGTCGCACATCTGACAACAGAATCAAATGAATGTAATACCGATCAAGATCGACCTTCGAATAATTCTTCACTCTTGTTCGGTGAAGTGATGCCAGTATCGTCGTCAACGACTGGAAGAACGACTGCAGCTATCATGCTATCATTGACCTACCCTGGCGTTGATATCGTCCTATATGAAGTCCTCAAAAAATAACTACGATTGTTACTGCGTTATTTGTCATTACCTGAAATAAATCGTTTTCTTTTGTTTACTTCAAAAAATATGAGAATATATCGGTTTTTGAAAAACATGTTCCATCAGCTAAATACACCCTTCCCTATATTCTAGATCAGAATACACTTATCTTAACAATCTTGCTAATAATGGACAACGATGATGCTAACAATAATATACGTTGCCCCTACGAACCTTTGCGAAATATAAATGATGAAACGACAACACTCGTATACGAAACACAACCTTTTACCGTATACAAACAACATGCCCAGAAAAAGAAGCGAAAATGTCATGGAAATCGAAAACTACAGCATTTCAAACGCAAATGTCGATCTCGTGGCCTAACTGATGAACAAATTGACACGTTAATTCAAACAAGACATGGCAGAACATCTGAACAATTGCCAGATACGCAAGTAACCAGTGTTGATCATTCGAGACAACCAACGAAACGCAAAAGAGATCAATCTCAATTGAAGCTGCTGTCGGATTCAGTGCAATCTCTCAATCAATTATCACTCTCTGGACAAAAATCGACATCAAGTACAATAAAGAAGAAGAAGAAATCGAGTCATATGGTGAATGCATCGAGTGATAACGACAATCGCGAATCAAACAACAAAATTTTTACATTTCACAAATCTTCTAAGTATTTGAGGATGCCAAAGAAACTACTTTTGCATTCATTACGGCTGCAACTCAGTCATCCAATCAAAATGAAAAAAAGAACAGGCTTTCATCTTGACACGGCTTCGACTACATGATCATCAATTTTGCCTGGATCAAGTGCGATATCTCTACCAGACATTTTTCGATCAAGGCAGAAGAGTTCAAATGTGGCCTGTAAGTATCGCACAATCTGATCGAATTCACGTATGATATCATTATCGTATGCTCTATTCGAAGGAAAGCATTCACAAAATTGTACAATCAACCCAACACACCGTTGTTCAAAAGTATCTGGAAGAGTTTTTGGTATTATTAAGTGATAAGATCGATGAATATACAACTGAATTGACGAATCAATCGTTGAGTTGCCCACCATCATTATCTCCGTTGGACATCTTCGATGGAAGACTGAAAGAGTTTGTTCGTTTACATCATCTTGATTTTATCAGAGCAAATCGTTATCGAATACACCAATTCAAAGCTGACATTCATGAAAAACAGCTCGGTAAAGAATTGTCGTATTATTTTTCGAATGTCGATCAAGTAAGTATTATCTAGCCGTCAACGTTCATCGTTTCTCTCATATATTTCTCTAGCTCGAACCAATCAATCGATTGACAAGTATCCGACAGAAACAAATGAAAGTGTTCGAAGAATTGACGATGTTCGAGCAACGCATCTCATGCCATCGATTACCAAAATCTTTCGATTCTGCCATCATACCTAACCTCGATGTAAAGCAGCTGAGCAACAGTCGCCTGAAGATACTACAAGAACTCAAGAGATTCATATTAAATGTTGAATTACAAGAATATGAAAACAAGATTGAGCATTACGAACATTTATATCAAGAAGAGCTGACTAGTCTCCAGCAACAGATCGAGAACACTAACTCATCTCTTCCTCAACATCAGACGAAAATGTTACTTTATATTGTTCAGTCTTATTTGGAAGCTTTTGCCAATCGACTTCTACGGCAAATACGTTTCAAAGAAACTTGCTTCCGTGTCAAATTAACACGACATCGCCGTCGTCAGCAACCATTCCTCTCATACGATGTCGTTGACGTGTATCCACAAGTTATAGTTGATGTGCCAAAAGTGTGCTTAAACCGCTTCCAACTTGACTTTCTGTCACACAACGGTAAGCATGCGACATACATACCCTAGCCTACTCTTGTCGGCGATATCCTTGATTTTTTTTTCTTGTCCATTTTTGAAGGTCCTAGCTATATTCGACCAAATCAAACATATCTGTATTCACGTACACATCAAGAAAAACAAGTTGAACGAGAATACAATAGGATTCTTGATGTTGTCGTTCCTTTTCTCGTACGCGTACATCACATGTCACCAACATCGACAGCCATCAAGCAGTTCTCTCATCAACTTGCTACGTATCTTTGTGAACGCTACATGTCTACAGTGTCGTATATTGATGCCCACCGTACTCGGCAAGAACGGCAATTAATCCAATCAATCAAATGTCGTCTGAAGAAATACAATCAGATTCTTCGTGTGACGGATAAGGGTGGCATATTTCATATCGGTGATGCCAAAGATTACGAACGAAAATCAGACGCTTATCGGCAAAAAACGGGAGCTTATGTTGAATTAGAGACTAATCCACTATGGTCAGTCTTCGACAAAGTTGTTCATCTGCTCAACGATCTTCGCTCGAAAAAACATATTCTCGCATGGCAACTTAACAAAATGATGCCGAAACGAGACAAAGTTGAACTCGCGTATTTATACTTCGTTCCAAAACCACATAAGGTAATTTCTGAATATCTTCTGCTGACTACCGCCTACTGTTTTATTCCTATTTGTAGGAAGGAACTCCACTGCGACCGATTGTGTCATCAATGAATATGCCAACAACTGGCATTTCTAAATTTCTTGATCGATTACTTCGACCGTTATTTGATAAACATGTTCGTTCAACTACAATTATCGACGGTGTTGATCTCATTCGTCGTCTCGAAACATATGCGGCAAACG